GCGGGTCCAGCGCGAAGGCGGCCGCGCTGTCCATGCCGCGGTCCCGGGCGGGATGGCCGCGCCTCTCCGTCCCGCCGCGCGCCCCGCGCGCACGTCCGTCGGGGACACAAACTTTCTGCCCTCCTCTCCCGGGCCGGCGGCTCGATCACCCGCCGCTGCGACGCTCGCGGCCCGGGCCACACGCCCCTTCTCGGGGCGGACCTCGCCCCCGGCCTCCCCTCCCTGCGTCCTCCGCCGTCCGGAGGGAGGCGGGGCCGGGACAGGGTCCTCGCCCTCCCAGAGGTGGTTTAGGGGTGGCCAGGTCCGGAGGGGTTGTTTCTTTAAATCCCCAACCAGGATTCCCGGAGCTGAGGGGGACTGGCCTCCACAGGTTGGGGAGGGGGGCAGCGCCACTCTGAGAGGGTCCCTAACCCTCCAATCCCCTTCTCTTTAGACAGAGTTGTCTATTCCAGACTGGCCTCTACTTTACTATGTAGCCGAAGATGACCTTGAACTTGTTATGTAGCTAAGAATGACAGCTTCCGTCTTGTGGCCCCTACCCTGGTGGGAAGAATCCGAGGTCCTCGTGGACCACCGTGCTCCCCCATCCAGAGAGCAAGCTTCTGAGATGGAAGCCGGGGTGTTTCTCATGGGTGACACCTTGGTGTCTGCTCTCAGCGCTCCCCAAGGAAGACCAGGCTGGGAGAGGTGAGTTTTCCTCCAGATGCCTGAGGCACTAAGAGACTGACAGAGAGTCTGGTGCCCATGAGAGAGCCAGACTAGGTCTCCCTTTTGGGTATTTTTTCTTCTTAGTATTTTTATTTTTTTTTTGTATAGGAGTGTATTACATGCATGCATGTAAGCCTGTGTCTTGCAATCCCCACAGAGGTCAGAAGAGGGTGTGGATTTCCCTGGAACTAGAGTTAGGGACAGTTGTTAACTGTATGCATGTGGGTGCTAGGAATTGAACCTGGGTCCTCTGCAAGAGCAGCAGTGTTCTTAACCACTGAGCCATCTCTCCGGTACCTTGCCTATGTTTTTCCAGGAAAGCCCAGAAAATTGGCACTGAGGGGAGGAACCAAGATTCTGGGTGCTCCAGATGCCCCCTAGGACTGCCCTGGCTTGTCTCACTGCAGCCCCCAGAGAGGCATGAAGTCATAGCATCAAAATAACCCCACCAGGAAGTGTTCAAAATGTCCCCCAGAGCCCCAGCAGGAAACCCTTCCTGTAGCCACCTTTGAAACCTATACCCTGGCTTCAGTATGACTCCTCTGGGGTGGGGTGGGGGGCTTTAACCTCCTAAATGAAGCTGAGAGTAACTTGAAGGGCTTTAGCAAGTTATCCAATTACATCCATTAGGAGCAGGGTGGGCCTAGAGACCACAGGTCCTTTGGAGACAGACAGGCTCTTTGGAGATCTGTGGCTAGTAGCACCCAAGCTGGCAAGAATGCCTCTCCTTCCCCAGCACCAGGGCGTTCCCAGCACTGCCCCGTGAGTATGTGCTATGTGTGTGCTGTCTCCCAGGGCTCCGAGCAGCACCATTCCACTCTGAGCCCAGCTTCTCCTCTCCATGTGGACCTCACAAAATACCTGTGTGATGCCAGGGGGAGTCTGATCCAAGGGGCATCTATCCCCAAAGACACAGGGATAGTGTTGCAAAGGGCCTTAAGATATCATCTATCTAGGTCTAGGTCCCATTCCATTCCATGACAGATGGGGAAACTGAGGCAGCAAAGGCGAAAAGTTCCCTCTAGTGCTGGAAGAATCACTGGAATCATTCAGTCCAAATGCTGTTGTTCAGATGGGTCAAGTGACACTCAGAGCCAGGATGTGCCTGGCGGACCCAGTGGCATCCTTCAGGGGTCTGGCGGACTCAGTGGCATCCTCCACTCACTTGTGTAGTCACCATCCTGACCATGTGGAACTGTGACACCCTACATTGCTGTGGAATGGTGGCACTCTATCTCTAGCCTCTCTGGTTCAAATCAAGACCATGCTTGGGCCTTGAGCAAGCGATTTAGCCCCTAGTTTCCATGAGTGTTGGAGAAGCTGTTTGGAGGAGACAGAAGTAGATCTGAGGTCTGGGAGATGGCTCAGCGGGTAGAAGACCTGAGTTCAAATCCCCAGAACCCAAGCCAATCTAGACGCAGTGGCAGCAGGGGGTGTAAGTGCTCCTACAGGAAGATGTGAGGCAGAGGCAGAAGAGTCCTCAGAGGCTCTTAGGCACCTAGCCTGGTGACTGAGCAAGAGACCGTCTCAAACAAGGTGGACGGTAAGGACCCACCAAGATTGCATGCCTGACATCCACACATATGCAGTGGCACATAAAAGGACACACACACACACACACACACACACACACACACACACAAACACACACACCCCACACAATTTTTTTTTTTTTTGGTCTTTTTGAGACAGCTGGCCTGGAACTTACTATATAGACCAAGCTGGCCTTGAACTCACAGAGATCCACCTGCCTCTGCCTCTCAAGTGCTGGGATTAAATGCCTGTGCCACCTGTCTATCTCAATTACTTTTTTTGAAACATTTACCCCAAGAAGTCAGTCAAGATGGTGACAGCTTCTTGGACTTTGGAGCAGGGAGATGGGTTTGGCTGAGCTCACTGCTGTGGCCTTGCTGTGTGGCCTTGGGGAAGTCATTTGATATCATGTCCCCTCCATTGTCATTAAAACAGAGAGAGATATAATGAGGGAACGTATCCAGATGGTCACTATCCTTGTTAATCCTGGGAGGAGGACTGGGTGGTACTGGGTGGCAGAGCGTGCCAGCTGGACCAGAGCTCAGCCCTTGAGCAAAGTTCAGACTTGATCTACGAGAAAATATGGCCAAGGGAATGATAACCTAAGAAAGGCAGAACCTGGGGAATCTACCATCAAAGAGGGATTTGGCTAAAAGATGGTTTCCAGGGTGATTTGGACAAAGGCTTGATGTTAAACCAAGTGGTGGATGAAGCTGACAGGAACATCTTAGTTCAACCAGATGTTACTGATCTAGGACCAACTCTGGACATCACAGGAGGGAAGAACAGAGGAAAGTTGAGGGGGGAGAGGTCCTGCTCTACAGGGAGGGACGAAGGAGCTGATGACTATCAGGTGGCTCTGTGGAAGCTGGATTCTACATCTCACCTTGAGGGACAGTGCTTACATCGCAAAAGCTCACATGTCCAGGAAAAAAATGCTAAACATTTCCTATCACAAAAGTGATATCAGATTGATGAAATTTTATTTCATCTATTTAAATTTTCATCTTTATTTATTCTGTGTATGCACATGCATGTGGAGGTCACAGGGCTTTTTGGAATTGGTTCTCTCCTTCCATCATGTGGGTTCCAGGGAACGAGCTCAGGTCGTCAGGGTTGGTGACAAGAACCTTTACCTGCTGAGCCACCTCACTAGTTCCATTACTGAGATCTTTTTTTAAAAGCTTAAGTGGGGCTGGAGAAATGGTTCATCGGTTAAGAGGATTGGCTGTTCTTGCTGCGGGCCCGAGTTCAGTTCCCATCATCCACATGATGGCTAACAACTGTCTGTAACTCCAGTTCCAGGGGATCCAATACCCTCTTCTGGCCTTTGAGGGCACTGAACACATGTGGTACACCACTCAGATACTTGAAGGCAAAACACTCATACAATAAAATAAACATAAATAAAATCATTAAGACAAGAAAAAGAAATGATAAAAAATAATTTAGAGTCTTTTTAGTTGATATCTAGCTTGGTAGAGGGGCACCGTTGCATATATTATAAAAGCAGAGCTATGCTTTTATCATCTATTTTATAATCTATA